ACAGATAGATTTTATCAGTTACCAAAAATATATTTGTAAAGATAATTTATGTATTATGTCAAAAGAACTTTATATGATATTGAATTAATAAGAAGCAAAAAAAATTTAATACATTTGTGAAAAGAGTTCTTTTAAACAAAAGAATTTCTCCCTTTTTTTTTTATAAAAAATTTAATTTGCTTTCACATACAATATGTACAATGATAACCTTTGATAGAGAGATATATGTTTTATGTAATAAATTCGAAAAAGGCAGACAATAAGAAAAAAACTTCTTTGATAAAAATTGCACTTTACATTTATTTGAAACTATATTTTACATTTAACGTTTTACTATTTTACATTCCTTCAAAACTTAATTTAAATTTTAAAAATCATATTTGATTTAAAATCTTTTAAAATCAATTTTTTTTTTTATAAAACAATTTTTTTCATTAAAAAATTCTCAGTTGCGGTTAAATGCTTTTTTTTACGACCCAATATTTTCTGTATAAACGCAACATAAACAATATCAAAAAATAATTTAAATATTCTAAAAAAAATTTTCCGCCTAACTAAACACTTTTGACTTTTTACATTATACAAAAAAATTTTCGCCAAACTAGAACATTTTCAACATCTATGAAAAATGCCAGCTGCCCAACGCTTCTTAACAAGGCCTGTCAAAGTATTTTTCTGACAAATTTAGTTCTATTACCTTATCTCTAAATCCTTAACAAAATTTGTAAAAAAATAAAAGATAAAATAGTATTTTTGTTTAAACAATAAAACTTTTTAGTTTTTATTGAGGAAGTACTTTATTAAATACATTTAAATGCACGTATAATTTTCTTATTTTAATAAAAATTAAAAAATGCGAAAAACAAAGTTTGACACTGTGACTTTCAAAATATAGTTTTATTTTTATTTTTTTAGAATTCTTGAATTTTTTTTTAAAAAAACTAGAATTGCTGATAAAAATCAATTGCCGCCCTATTATATTTGATTATTAAATATTTTTAGTCACCCTTCACAAAATTCAGCAGCCTTGTATGGTTGGGCAATAACAAGTGTACACCCCTGTATATATATATACATATATACATATATATATATATATATATATATATATATATATATATATATATATATATATATATATATATATATATATTTATATATCTTATACTGCTAAGTTAGGTGAGCATGATGATGTCATACTCACCTAATGTCAAATAGCCTGCTGCAGGGGGCTTCAGTACATACATCAACTGACAAATAGCCTGACTCGCCGTGGAGTGCTGCTACATTGACTGAGGGTTTGGTATGGGTCAGCAACATTTTCATTCATTATTCTTCGTTTTCCCTCATCGTTTTCTAAAAATGCTCACTTAATTTAGGCTAGCAAAAAAAGTGAGCAATTGCGTATATAAATATGCTATAGTAGATATATATATGTATATAAAATAATTAAAAAAAAACAGGTAAAAAAAAAGCATTTTTCATAAAAGTTGAGCAAATCAACAAAAAAAAAATTTTGTTGCAATTTAAAACAAAAGGCTTTTTTATTAGACTTAAGCGCGAAAGCGCTGGCTAAACAGAGAAGACTGTCAATGCTGCCATTGTTGCTGCCATTACTCGTTTGTGAGTGTTTGACATGGAAGTCACAGCAGCCATTACACCCCAGTCAATTGTAAGAAAGAATCAGAAAAATTGAACAAAATTGTAAGCAAATACCTGACTTAAGTTGTTAAGTCGCAGCATTCTGAAGTGAAATGCTGTGGTTCAAATCCTTGCTTTTCCACATTTTTTACTTTTTTTTTAAATCTATTTTGATTTTTTTAAATAAAAAATAAAACAAGTTCAATAGAGTTTTACTTTTATTTAAAAATTGGATTGTGGCAAAATCTATTTTAGCCATTTTATAAAGTTTCTGTCTTTTTTTTTTATAAGGTTAAAAATTTTCAGTTTAGTGGCAAAAGTGGTTAGCTTGCTGCACTTCTGAAGTACAACGCGAGGGTTCAAATGTTGCTTACTTATTAATTTTTAAAAATCTTTTTTAAGTTCTATTGTTGATATATAAAAATATAATATACTAAAACAAACAAAAAGAAGAGAGCTTATATAAAACTTAAAACTGCAATAAATAACAAAACGTTTTTTTGCACAAACATCACAATAAAGAACGTATCTTTATTGTGATGTTTGTGCAAAAAAACGTTGTTAATGTGCTTAGGTAATTAGTTAAGTCTACGCGTTCAACGCACATTAAAGAGACAACTTTTTTTATAGGAAAAAAGATTTAATATTCAATCTTTTATTTTCTTTAAAATTAAATAAAGAGGCAAGTTTCCTAATAAGCTGCCAATGGTCTGGAAAAAATTTTAATAAAAATTTGATAAAGAAAAAAATGTACAAGTCTATACTCTCTTTTTAATAAAAGTTTACAATTTTACAATAAGAAGTATTGAACATTAATTTAAACATTTGTGGTAAATCCTACCACATGGTGGCCACAAAATTTTAAAAGTTAAATTCCAGGACATTTCCAGGACATTCCAGGACATTTTGTTGCGTTTTCCAGGACATTTTATATATTATTAAATGAATATTATCAATTATCTTTACGGTATATTTTTTTCATATTGATTGAATTGTAGAATAGAATATTATATTATTAAATTATTATATAATTATTACTCTCTTGTTTAAAATTAAATTCAAACCATTTATATAAAAAAAAATTTCGCATAAAAAATTTAATATTACTTCAATATTCTTAGTAATTTTTTAACTTGACCCAAAAAAAAAAAAGTTCCAGGACATTTCAGGACATTTTTGAAAAAAATGTAATTTTCCAGGACATTCCAGGACACTTGCAAAAATCCAGGACATTCCAGGACATTCCAGGACTGTGGCCACCATGTACCACTAAATAGCAGTTGGTGCAACGACTTCAGAAGCATTTTTTAAAATTTTAAATTTTTGTTATAAATTATTTTTTTATTCATGACTTTAAAAGGTAGACAATATGTACAGCTTTTCTAGCATTACTCAAAAAATATTGAAATAAGGTATAAGTACAGGCTTTCACAGAAAGGCGTGCAATTTCATGTCTTTATATGACCAGGCAAATTACATTTTGCTATGACGATTTGACTGCGGCTAATTCAAAAAATATTTTAAAAACGCGCTAAATAAAAAACATTCTGAAAAAGTGAAATTATTTACATCAAAACTTCTTAACAAATGTTTTTATAATAGCGAAACGCTTTTAAATAAAGTTTTATTTACTGATAATGTTTTTTTGTTTTTTTTTAATATAATTGACAGTTGAATATATTTTTTTAATTTATAATATATAAATTGTTTAAGTGTGCATTTCTATTATAAACTTTATTAAAAATTAAAAAATTGTTTTGTTTTTATAAACGATGACATTCTACGACTACAAAAGTCTCTTTAACGAATTTTAATAAAAGAATAATTAAAGTTAATACATTTAAAAAGATAAACAAAACTTCATTGAAAAAAAAAAGTTTTAGAAAGCCATTACAATTATATAAGTTTGATATTTTATATTATCGAAGCTTTTAAATTATCGAAACCATTTTTAATGAAGCAACAAAACACTTCTAATTAATTTTTCAAATAAGAATTAATAAACTGTATTTTTTTTATTTATATAATTATGCATTTTTTATGAGAAATGTTTATCTTTTGAAACATATTTTTAAAAAAGTACAAATGTTAAAACAAAGATTGAAATGGTTTTTCAATGCATAAATTAAATAGATATTTTTTTTCAAGCATTTTAATTTAATGAGTTTTGTTTTAGTTGGGTTATATATATATTTATTTTTTTGTGTTTTTGTTTTAACTAAGAATTTTTTTTATTTTCTCTTTGATTAGGATTTTTTTTCTTTTTACAATTTTTTTTAGGTAAGTTTTTGTAGCGCATTTTTATATTTTGAAAAGCCGTGTTCAAATTGTTAAAACATATAATTTTTTGCGTGGTCATATAAAGACGTAAAATCGCATGCCTTCCTATGAGAGCCTGAAGTATAGAAATGATAGGTGTAGAATAAATAACCAAGACCCATATTTTATGGGTTTGGAATGTTAGTATATATATATACATATATATATATATATATATATATATATATATATATATATATATATATATATATATATATATATATATATATATATCTATATATATATATATATATATCTATATATATATATATATATATATATATATATATATATATATATATATATGCTAATTATGCAACGCTAAAAACTTTTTTGTTTGGTAATATTTAAATAACTCAATAGATGTTTTGAAGCTGTGTTTTAATGAAGTAGTTAACCATTATTTTAACGGATTTTAATGAAAATGTTAACATTCTAAAAACAGCTCACCATTGTGACAAAAGTTTAGATTACAAGTTTATAAAATATGCTCATTATTTCCAAATATAATAAATTTAAATAAAATAAAAAAAAGAAAATTAGAATTTTTATAAAAGTAAGCTTTTAAAGGAAATATTGAAATTATTGACATTTAAAGGAAATATTGAAATTATTGACAAATTATTGTATATATATATATATATATATATATATATATATATATATATATATATATATATATATATATATATATATATATATATATATATATATATATATATATATATATATATATATATATATATATATATATATATATATATGTATATATACATATATATATATATATATATATATATATATATATATATATATATATATATATATATATATATATATATATATATATATATATATATATATATATATATATATATATATATATACACACACACACACACACACATATTGCATAATATAATAATACAATATACTGCATGTATTGTATTGTTATATCATATTATATCATATAATATTATAAAATATATTTTATTAAGTAATTGATTAGATTATATTATACTTTTAGTATCTATATATACCTTTAAATTATGAGGTTCCTTTTCTTTTAAAGAGAAATATTTAGACACTGCTCTGATACAACCAGAAAAAAAATGGTGAGCTCCTAATGACTTAGGATTGTTTATAGATACTCTGCTTTTTCTTCCGTGGTGATATGAGTAAATTAAGTCATTTTCGCTTAAAATAATACGTTTTCCAGGCAAATGTTCAGTAAAAATCATTTTAAAATAACACAGCAATTGTTTTTATTTACGAAAAACGCATCATTTTTTGTTGGAACTATAATATATTATTTTTTTTTGAAACTATAAATATTTGTTCAACCGTTAGTTCAACTCAGTCCGCCGTGTAATAATTAGTTTCGATTTAAAGATAGACGACTATCATAAGATGAAACGCAAAATTTGAAGGACCGGTCAATTTCTTTCTACAAGTTAATTAGTTATTGTCATTAGAAAATGTTTGCTAATGTTAAAATCTATTTTTTGTCTGTCGTTTTACATATTGTTAAACTTGCATAACATTTTAAATTTTGTATGTTAATAGGAGGGGTTACAAAAGTTATAAGTTGATTACTATTTAAAAATCAGAACTTTATCCAGTAATAAGATGATAAACCACCAAAAATGTTTTGATTTTAAATTTAAAATGTACCGCATTGTTTTAATGCGCGAATTATTGCGTGATAATTAGCACGCACCGTTTATGTCGTTTTGCACGTTGTTTTTTTGTTTTTTCCGTAGTTGGATCTCCCTGAAAACTGAATAACTTTTGCATAATGAGTAACATCAGCAGTTAATTTTTAAAACTTATACTTTTATTTACGGTATTATTATGATTCTAGAGTTATTTTTATCTATGATTATCTTAATAATTGAATTTAAAATACCAAGTTCGTGTTTTAGTTATTTCTGGCAGTGGCGGGTTTTCGGGGGGGGGGGGACATTATTGTTGTAGGGGTCAGGGCAATAACATCCGTTTTCGCCATGTATAATAACATCCGTGAAACAACATCCCAAATTTCATTGATGTATAATAACATCTGATTTCTGATGTAACTAAATCCGCCAAAAAAAAATTATTATAATGCATTATTTTAAGCATAATAATTTTTTTTTTTATTATTTGATAGACTGCCTGCCCAAACCTAACCCTCAGTCGATGTAGCAGCACTCCGTTGCAAGTCAGGTTGTTTGTCAGTCGATGTAGCAGCACTTATATAATACAATAATTATATATGTAACTTATAAATGTAACTACATCCGGAATTTTTTTTTTTTAATAATGCATTATTTGAACCAGATGTAGTTACACATCTGATTTTTTTCGGATGTAACTACGTTCGAAAATTTATTTTATTTAATAATGCATTATTTTAGGCGGATGTTGTTACACATCGAGAAAAACTCTCGGATGTAGTTACATCTTTCTAAAGATGTTAGTTATTATTCATCATTGAAATTTCGGATGTTGTTGCACAGATGTTAATTCAGTAAAGAAAAAAAGCGGATGATCTTACACAAAAATGTGCGGATGTTATTTCACTACTCCACGAATGTTGTTGGACGGATGTAGTAATCTTTTCAATTGTTGTAGCCCATTCCACCCCGCCCCCCCCCTTTCTTCCTCTTGGGACGTTTTTCAGGAAAATTTATTTGTAAATTGACTATTATACAGAATTGAACTATTATACTGACGAATGAAATTGACTTTTATACGTAAATTAACTTGATTATTGCAAGGGATGGCTCTTTTCCTTACTTTTTTTTATATTTACACGAGTAAGTTAATTTTTATCAAAAAGTAATTTACATAAATTTTAAACGTTTTATATAATTTACATTTCCGTATAAGTAATAAATTTTTTTGAAACGACTTTTTTGAAACTACTTTATAATGTAAGTTTTTTTACTTTCAAAAGTAAGTTATGTGAAAGAAGATTACATCAAAAAGTAATCTACTTTTACATGTTAAAGTAAGTCACATGAAAAAGCTGTTTACTTTCACATTTAAAAGTAAATTACTTTTTTAAGTAACAGTTACTCATATAAAAAACTCAACTTAAGTAATTAAGTTTTACACGTTATATAATTTATGTAAAAAAATAGAATTACTTTTAAATGTAAGTAAATTATATATATTTTTATATGAGTTAAGTAATTTACCCGTGAACGTAAATCGCGTTTTTACATCAAAATAAGTAAAAGTGCCATCCTTAATTATTACACTAAAAAACAAAAAATTAAAAATAATAGTTGCTTATAAATGAAAATATGCGGACTTTTTTTTTTAGACTTTTTTAGGCCACTCCTTGAGTGACAAAACCCGCCCCTGATTTCTGGACATACTTATTGGACGGTTTTTTTATTTACAATTGAGGTTGTTGGACGGCAGGGAGATGCGCTGGTACTTTTTCTATTTTTGAATAAAAAAGTAAAAGATGCTCATGACATATCATTACATATGTGCTAAAATTTTACCCATTTGGCATCACTTAAGTCTTAACACTTAAAGTCTTAACACTTTATTCATTTATTGGACTTTTGGTTATAATATTTTTATTCGCTTTACCATTCTCTTTATAAACTTGTTTCATCTAGTCTAGTTGTGGTAAATTTGAGAAAAGCAAAAACAAAAAAAAAAATCATCGAACACGAAAAGTTAATACATACATACATAATACATAATATACATGTGTATAATATGCATAATGTACATACATACATAAATAAATCCATATATAAATATATACAAATCATACATAAATAATTAAAATAAATCCAGCACTAGATACACCTTGATGAAATTATGTGGAAATAGGGAGCTACGGTGGCTTTAGTATATACAGCGAGTGAGAATTTGGGGTTATGCTCTTTTATTACGGGAAAAAATTAAGTTTTTTTATTTTTTTCAATATTTTTCATTTTTCCTTCATTTCCTGAAAAATGATGGTATTAAAAAAATATACTTGGATATTTCTAAATTAGTATTCATTAAATAGGGTTTTGAAAATTTTTCAAATTAATTAATTACAATTTTACAATTCAAATTAATTACAATACATTACAAGTTATGATGGTTTAATACTATTTAATTTCACTTAAATCTTACTTACGTCAATAAAATATGTAAATCAAAGTGTTTATAAACTATAAATGCTTACTGTAACGGTAGTTTAATTGAAGTTTAATCCAAATTCTATACCATGCTTAGTTGGCTAGTCAGCATTTGACACAACTCAATCGGCAGTTTTAAAAGACTTGGCCTCTTCATTTTATTCCTAGAATTGCCCCTGTGTGCTACCCTGTTATTGTTGGTATATATTTGTTTATTATTTAGTTGGTATATATTTTAGTAGCCCCACCTTCACGAATATCATACATAACATCTAATACTAGAGGTGAGGTTTTTGAAATCGGATTCGGATTTAACCGAAACAGATCCGATATCCGGTTTTTTTACCCCTAGACAAAACTTCCGAGTTGGAAGTTTTAACTAGGGGTGATTTTAATTAGTCTTTTCCGGATTACATGTTATTGTTCATCCATATTTGTAAGTTTTAACTACGGATTTTATAACCGGATATTGTATCCGGTTTGGTTAAATCCGAATCCGATTTCAAAAATCCGGATCAGATATCCGGTTTTGCTCACACCTATCTAATACTATGTTAGATCAAATGAAATTTTTTAGAGACTAAACTTTATATATTATTTTTTGTTAACGCATGATCATACGGTAAAGTGCTGAATATATAAATAGTTAACTAATTTTTGTTAAGAATAATAGGTGTTTATATGTTACTGTTTAATAACTGTAAAGTTTATTTTCAATTATTTTTTTTTTTTTTAATTCAAAGTGAGTTGAAAAGTTTTGATTTGTTTTTTATTTTAATTTGCAAACGCAAAAGCTCAGGAACTAAAACTAAAGTAAAAAACAATTACAAACTTTAAAATAAATTTTTATTTTAATTTTTTTTTTTTTTTTTTTTTGTGTGTTGTTATTCACTTCCTCAAGGCCGAGAAGGCCACTACAGATCTTGAATTTACGTATTTTCACTACGTATTTTCACTAACGTAACTAACGTAAGTTTACGTATTTTCACGCGTGGTAGTTCCGATCAAGTTTTAAGTATTATTCTACAAAATTAACCTTAAAAATATTTATTAATTATTTAAGTTCAAAATCTCAACATGTAAAAAGTTTTACATATAATATCGAAGATGTGTTAGCTGAAAAAAATCAAAAAAGCTGAATTCCAACAAGACATTCCGTTTTCAAAAACTGCAAAGAACAAAAGTATTTAAGGTATTAAGCTCAACCACTGTACAACCACTGGGCCGCAAACAGAGTCCATAATAGTGCTTGCTTCTGAGTGCTTTTTTGAATAAGGTTATGGTTTAACACGAAATGATCCTATAGACTTTGTAGACTTTGTATGGTTAGAACCATAGACTTTGTATGGTTTAAAATAAAAAAGTCACAACTTAGTACCCAGGCCAGTGCTGCTTGTTACGCGTAAAAAGTAAATGATATTAATAGTGAAAGTTTCACAATATCAACTGTCTGGTAAAACTTTCGATTCTCGTATTTGCAGTGAAATTGATTACCATTGTTATCAAGGCACCAAGTGATGTCTTGATTAAGCAAAAAACACGTTTTGAGACTCACTGATAAGTTTTGTCAAAATGATATTATCTTGGTTTGTCTCATTAATCTCATACTTTTCAGCCGTTGGAGGGAAGTATATATTGGAAAAATAAAAAATGTGGAGAATGAAGGCAGTTTGCATAAAAGATAAAATGATAAAAGAACATAACTTTAGATTCAAATTTTTCTGCTCAAAGTGGTGTATGAGAGTGACAAACTTTTATATGTTTGCACGCTACAGAAGGTTTTTAATATACTAGATTAGTGAAGCATTTAACAAAAACAGCATCAATAAACAGACATTAACTCAAAAAAGTTTAATCAGCATCAATGAATAGACATATCAGAAAGGTTTAATTTGCAAACCTTTTTTAAAAAAAAAAAAAAAGAATTAAAAAAGAAATTTTTATGAGAAAGATTAGTCTCATGTAGCAAATTTGAGGGATATTGTTGATCTAAAAATCATAAAACAAATAATATAAAAAAGTTTATGTTTGCTTTACATAACTTTTAAAATATTTTAATGTAAAAATATTTTTTAAACTTGCGTTGAACTAGTTTCAAATTTTTAAACCAAATTTTTTTTATTTTAAAACAGATCAATCAATTCAAAATAAATCAATCAACTTAAAACAGATCAATCAGCTTCGAACCTTAGTTATTGTTAAATTGCCACAAATTAAAAACAAAAATTATA